TAGTAAAGTGATGCTTTACAAAGTTGAACAACCTGAAGTCCTTGTTTCTGACACTTCAGTTGTAAAATGAAGCGACCGGAGACGAGCCGAATAGAATCTGACAGTTTATTTCAAGTTCTGCAAAGTCACAGGAGCGAGAACCAACATGTAAATATGTACATTCATCACAGGAAACAAACCCAATATAAATATCTGAGAGAGGAAGTTAAAGTAACATGCAGGTGAGTGGTTTCCATGGAAAACATTTCAGCGTATTTACAGCACTGCTCCGTCGCCTCAGTGACACTTTACTTTAGTAAGAAGCAGCGAGTCGTGTTCAGGTTAGTTCAGGTTAGCTCAGGTTAGCTCAGGTTAGCTCAGGTTAGCATTGAACAGGAAAAACAAACCGGTATATTGCCAGAATTGATCTCGAGCCAAAGGCACACATTCAGGAGAATCTACGACACCGGACAGAAACACGGGAAACATCCGACGCCTCCCGTGACGGACGCATGCAGACGCACTTTACACGTTGAGTTTCAGTTCTCTGTACAAAATCAAATCCAAGTAAAGGGAATTGTTCTGTGAAGCGGACGCCTCTCGGCTGAGAAGCGACGCCGGGCACTGGTGCAGAACGTGTAACAGTCGTGATTCAAAGAAAAGAGCGTTAGCGTGTTAGAGAGGGAAACATTCAGTCACAGCTTCGTCACCTCCGACGCTCAGTCTTATTGTTATCGTTCGCTCTCTGGCCGAGAATCAGAGCAGATGTTGACGCCACACGAGAAGCTGCACGGCTGCACACAGCCGGATCAGAGGAGAACTAACGGAGTGAGCTGATAAGAGGGCAGACGTACTCAGCAAGAGGCCGCTGGTTCGAATCCCAGCCTGCAGCTCCTCTCCTCCTGCACTGAGCAAACTTGATTCGGTGACAAACAAATGAAAAAGAAAATAAGTAACTTAAAAAAAAAAAGTGTTGTTCCATTTGTAGTTCAGCTTCAAATGTTGGAAAGTCAGAGGAAGCGTCTGTCTGCAGCCGGAGCTTCACTCTCGTCTGATTCTCGGCGAGGACGCTGAACGCCGGTTCGTGCGGAGTCGGCTGGTGAGTTTCTGAACTTTGACCTTTGTGCAGCGTTGCTTTGTGAGTGTTTCCAGAAGCAGCAGTGACGTGCGCACTTCAAAAAAGAGAAAGACCGACACGTGTGGACATTGACCAGCGACGGAAACAATCTCTGGACCGCTTATTGCTCGAGAATCGTTCGCTCGTCTCCTCGTTCTCTGCGGCTCAGGCCACATGTTCAGATCGTCCTTCGTTCTGTCAGATTCAGGTTTTTCACATTTCAGAGGTCGAAGTCTTAAAGTGGCGTAACATTCGGTTCAGGGAGAAACAACTGGAACACGACGTCGACGAACCGCTGAAGACTCCGTCATCCTCACTCTAATACAACACGTGCATTCGATATATATATTAAAGTATTTTGGAATGAAAGTCAATGACAGTAGTCTCCACTCGACAGCAGACTAATAAAACACAAATATAAAGTGAAGATTCAGATTCACTCCACTTCTTTCTTTCTCATCACTCGAGTCAATAACATTTATTTAGTTTCATTTTGTCGTCTCGGATTGAAAAATGTTTTTAAATAAAAGACGTCGTCAGATTTTAAATATCTCAAAGTTTCAGATTTATTCGGAGGAAAATGTTGTTTCCAGGATTGAAGGTGTGAATTCTTTCAAATCATTATTTAACTTACGAATATAAAGAAATATGTTTTGACATGAGCCTCGGTCGGTTGCGTCGGTTAAAGTTCAACCCGGTTTTATTCAGACATTTTTCATAAATTCATTATAAGAGTTTCAATTTTCTTTTTTTCAATCCAGATCAGAAACGTGTTGGAGAATCAATAATTAAAAGCTGGTGAGTTTCCACAGATCGACCGATGGTTCCGTTCTTCACATCGTGTTTAGTTTCTATAAACTAACTAATATCTAATAACACTGAAATCTTCTGCTGGTTCTTGGGCCAAAATAATAAACGTGATTCTTCCTCTGGTTGTTTTTGAATCAGAGCTTCAATCATCGGCCCGCCGGATGATCATTTCATATAAACTGCCACATTTCAAAATAAAAGCTCTTCAGGTGGACCCTTGGTTTCTGCCTTGAAAAGACGTTTGTGCCACTTTCTTCACAAATGCATCGTAAAAAAAATTGCTGCGGGTTTGATCCGGCGGTTAAAAGGAGGGAGACACGCAGACGCTCGCTCAAAGCTCTTTACATTCAACATACGATTATAAGGTTTGATGTGTCAAAGCAAATAAATGGATTAAAAGGTTCTAAAATGAGTAAAAATACTGACAACCACAGGAAGGAGCGTCTCTATCTCTCTTCCTCCTCCACTTTGAACTCACCTGACGAAGGCGAGAAGACGCCTCAGCGTCAGCTCGCACTCCGCAGGTCACCTTCGGTCCGCGGGACGGAGGGAGACGGGGTTTAAAGAGGAGCGAGATCTTAGGATGAAGAGTCTTCATCTAACGGTGGCGTGGAGGTTCTTCAAGAAACTCCGCCTCCTGAAGACGACCTACGATTGAAAGACGATGGGAAGACGTTCCAGAAACCGGAGCCGTGACGACAGCAGCCCCTCAGCACGACTCCGGCTTCCATCAGCAGCTGATGTTCAGGGGCGGAGCCTGGTCCTGGACGTGGGCTCAGGGATCAGTAGGAGGAGATGTCGGAGGAGCTGCTGCTGTTGCTGGTGGTCGTCTGAGCTCGTTTGATGTAGAGGTTCAGGAGCTTCATCTGAAACAGGAAGAAGCTTAAAGGTCGAACACAACTCTGAGGTTTGTTCTTCATCGAGTGTGAGAACGAAGATCTGGGACTGACCTTGCTGCCGGTCAGCTGAGCCAGGTAAGGCTTCAGCTCCTCGCCGATCACAGAGTAGATGGCCACCAGGCAGAAGACGCTGGCCTTCCTCACGCTGCTCTCCGTGTTGTCGTAGCCCTGCGGACGAGACGGCTCGGTGGAACACGGCAACAAACACTGAATGTACGGAGAACACGCATGAAGACGGAACGAGCGTCTCACCTGCAGGAGTCCCGGGATGATGTCCGGCAGCAGCTGGTGCAGCGGCTCCTTGGTGATGCGTTCGATGGCCCTGGTCTGCATCTTAATGGCGGCCAGGTTGATGGGGTAATCCGCCGTCTGCACGATGGGACACAGGACCTTGATGCACTGCTCCGGGGGGATGGACCCCGCCAGCGTGGACGCCGCCTCCTCGGCCGCCCGCACCACCTTCAACAGAGGGTTGGAGTTAGACGGAGCAGATTAGAGGGAATCGCTCAGAGAGAATGATCCAAACCTCTTTGTGCGAGTCCTTGTGAGCCTCCAGCGTCTTCATGATGGTCAGCTCGGCGTAGTTCTTGAAGCGGGCCGGCTGGTTCCTCAGGATCTCCTTCAGGACTCTCAGCGCCAGAGCTCGGATGGTGTGCTGCGAGAGAGGAGGCGGTTCAGAACCACTCAGAGGACGTTTTTACAATCACCTGAAGAGCTTCTTACGTCTTTGTCTCCGAGCGTCTCCAGCAGCAGCAGCAGCATGGTCTTGAAGTGCTCCTCCCACACCACCAGGCTGTCCTCTCGGGCCACCTTCAGCAGCTCCAGCAGCGTCTGCCGTCGCTCCTCGGGGCCCCGCTCCCCGGCCTGGCCCTGAGAGAGCTCCTTCAGCAGCTCGCCCACCAGCTCCAGCTGCTCGGCAGGTCCCGCTGAGGGTGGAGGGCAAAGGTCAACCACAGGAGGACAAAAAGAGCGTCTACACATCAGAGTGTCCTCAGACGTGACAAAGGTTCAAATGAAGCTGCCTGAAACATCTGGACTCTGAAACATCTGGACTCTGAAACATCTCGTGTCTTTACCAGGGAAGGTTTTCGGGTTCAGGATCTTGTTTTCAACACTTTCTTGTCGGCGGCCTGTGAGAGAGAGAGAGA